TTTACTTGGACTGAGGGAGAATTCTGAAGAGATTGATTACTCGAGAAAATTTTCGTTCAGATTCTTTTATTGAAATGAGGAAAAGTTATGATAAGAATGTATGCTCAGCTAGTTAAGGATTTGTGAAGGATTTGTATTTCTATAAGAGCTACATGAAAGATATGAAAGAACTGATAGAAGTTTCATTTCTGTAATTATGTGACACGAATGAATTTCGGGGACGAAATTCTTTTAAGGATGTGAGAATTGTAACACCCCAATTTAGGGGCTAAATTTAAGAAATTATAAAGTTGTGGATTTAATTTGGTATTTTGAAAGAAACAGTGGGTAAAATTGAAAAATTTTAGGGGCTAAACTCTTGGTTTAGCCATTTTTAATTATGAGATGATATATACCCCCAATCTCCCGTATGTTTCTGGAAATTTTTCCAGTTTTCCCTCTCCCGTCAACCCTCCTCCAACTCCGATCTACTCGCCGTCCGACCTCCGATCGACGAGTCGAAACCACCATCTTGTCCGTTGTCAACCGAGGAACCAAACCCCTCAAACCTTTCGTCGTGAATCATCACCGCTCGTCGTAAATTTCAGTCGGAAGTATCGTCGGTAATAACTCAGTTTTAGTTGGTTTTTCATCGATTCACGACGATCGGGTCATCCGTTTATGACACCTCTCGCACTATCGTGTTCCTTGAGCCGTTCCGAGTCCACCGGTGTCCTCACTTTTCTCCGGCGGCGGCGGCGCGTGTGGAGGTGAAGCGGTCAAAGTTCTCGATTCGTTGAAATTGAGCTCTCTGCCGTTCAAAAAATTGAACCGAGCTTTGTAAGTATCTCGAAATCGATTAAAATAATTTTTAGGAATTTTTCTGGGAATTTTTCGATATTAGTGCACTGTTCACGCGCCGCCACTGCGCGTGGGGAAGGAAAAATGACCGGTTTGACCAGTTTTGTAACCCATTTGACCGGTCACAACCCGACCCGACCCGTTGACCGGCATTGAATACTGTTGATCAAAACTTTGACTGGCTTTGACCGGGCATTAAACGACCTTTGACTTTGACCGAGTATACCTATCCTGACATTTTTCGACGTTCCAAATCCGATTCCGCAGTTCGTTTCTCGAAATTCAAACCCGAAGGCCTCGAAATTGCCGGTCAAACCCGTTTACTTTTATTTTGACCGAAGATTCCAAATTTTTGAAAAGCCATATTTTATGCTTTCGACGTCTTGAATCCGAATCCGAAGTCAGTTTTGCCAAATTCGAACCCGGTAAGCTGTTTTTGACAGATTTATCATCCGATTCGATCCGTTTTTCAGAATTAAGCTCCGTTTTTTATGTAATTTCTGTTTATATGGATCCGGGGAAATATTGGAAGTTGAATTGAAGATCAAAGGTGTTCGAATGGAATTTTTATGGTCGATCAGTATTGCACGGAAATCGAAGTAATACTTTACTACCTCTTTATGCTTTATGGAACATGTTTATATTGATAAATGCATGAACAAGATAATGTTGGTCACTTTGGTGGAGTTGAATAATTTATACACTTGATATGATGTTGTATAAATTCTGTAACTGATTACGGATCGAATGATTAATATAAGAGATTGAGAAATTGTTAGATTAAATTACAAGTTTGTGATTAGTGATAAAGAAATCAGCCCTGTATCTACAACTTATAATTTATTTCATCAAAGGTTAAATGTTAAAGGTACTTGGATGAGAAATTATGATAATACTCTGGTAGGGTAAAATTATGAAAATACCCTTATGTTATAAAAAGACAAGATTTGAATATGGAAGTTAGATAAGAGGATTTTACAGACATATTGATCTGATAAAATATTGATGTGCATAAGAAATGTTAGTTTTATTTGGAAATTATGGATAACCGGTTTTTAATCCTATGAGAGTTTGTGAAGAATACTAGAAGTTTGTTAAAAGAACAGTTTCAAGATCAGAGAGTATTCAAGAAAGCAATTAATCATAGGATCTCTAAATTATATTATTTTCGTTAAGAGCTAATATCGAAATTATCTGGTTAAGAAATTACGGAAATGCCCTTAAGAGGTAGAATAGTCTGAGTTGACTCTGAATGAGAAAATACTTAGGGGATTCATACTTAACTCAGTTAAGTACGGATTTAATTGTTAAGATCCTGACTTAGTGCAGGAAAATTTTTGATATTCCGTTTGTAAAATCTGAGAAGACACTTGACCCGTAAATATTCGAATAATGAGTAAATACATGAAGAATAATTTATCGAGGGTATTCTGCTGTCAGAATTGTTCAAAAGGACTGAAGTAAATGATAAGATTGAATTAAATAATAAGACCGGATGGCAGGAAAAGATTGAAATACCGTAGATCTGTAAAATGACCAAAACACCCATGTAATGGAAATGACCCAAGAATATCACCAAGCTCAGGAATGATTGGATATCCTCGAGCTCTGAAATAAATGGAATAAAACTGAACACCAAAATTACCAAAATAACCTTATGGCCTAAACTAAGTAAATTCCTTGGATTAATTAAGGAATCCAAATAAGCATAGGTATTGGACTACCTTTAAAAGTTATGGAACATAACTTAAGTGAGCCGATCAACCTTAATAATATGTCAGTACCTGAATGACGTAGATATTACTTGAATACATGTTCGTCTACTCAAGTTTAGTTCAATGATAATTTTGGAAGTATTCAGCTCAGCTCAACTCTAGATTGCATTCGGCACTAAGAATTGGATATTTGTTCGATAAATCAACCACGAAGACCAAACTGAACTGAACGAAAGTACAATATGTATCTGAAATTCAGAAACGTACGGAATTACTCTGGAAAATCCCGAAGTAACTGGAATAGACTTGAATGCTAAATGAACTAAGCAACCTCAAGCACTAAGGATTAAGTAAGTGATGTGAATGAGTCTGGAAACGTTAATGAACATAAACAATGTACTGTTCTTCTAGATCATGAACTACAAATCAAGCACATCAGTATTTCATGATTTATTGGAAGCGTAAAAATAAAATAAAGACATTGGAAGATCTATTCAGTGATGATTCTGAAAATGATATATGGATAAGAGTTTGTGGTATTAAAGAGTAAATACCCCGAAAGAACAATGAATTGATCAATCGACAAGCATTAATTTTGGGAGCTATTCATTTAAGAGTTGTTTGATAATCAGATCAATCGACATAGATTGTAAATGTCCTGAATCTTCATTTCTTCCTTACACCTCAAGTCATATTCTGAATAATTGACGATTTTGTCAGTTATTGAACTCTTCCAATAGTGATTCTGAATTTCGATATTCTATCGGCATACTGAACAACTGTGTTTCTCTGCCTGATACAGTACCTCTAAATAATACCTGTAAACTCTGGTGTGTTTCCTAATTATATAAATATTTTATCTGATTTCCGAATTGAATTCTGTTCTGATACGTTACCTGAATTCTGTTCTGATTCTGATCTGGATTATGTTCTGATATCTGATATGAATTCTGTTTTGATTTCTGATATCTCCGTTTACCGACGGAGAAAAGTTTTATCTGGGGGGTTTATTGTTGGAGGAAGATTACTGCAGGCTCCTCGGCTGTGTGCTCAGGGCCTTACTGTTACTGGTTGTGCGGGGTGTATGGTTCCGGGGAACCTACACAAACAGTTGTGAAAGGATGGGGGTGTATATATATATGCTTAAAAATATATATATATATCTTTTTACTGGTTTTATGGGAACATACTAGATAACCTATTCTGATCTCCTGAACTCAGTCATCCGAAATATTTGTCTGAACTGAAAGCTCATTGTCCGTTACCATCTGAAATATCAGTAGAATCTCTGCTCAGCATAAAAATCTATAAACGTTTGGAAATAATAAGGATATGTATGTTTATCTGTATCTGCACGTTCTTCAGCATTATCTGGTAGTTCTGTATTACTGAGCTTTTCAAAGCTCACTCTAGTACTCACCTTTTCAGGTTAAAAGAATTGTACCAGTGCATCTATCGACTTCAGTAAGGGAGTTTTTCCGGCGTTGTTGCAGAGTATGGTACATGTGATTAGGGGGCATGTAATTGTATTTTGATTTATATACGAGTCTGGAAATCTGTTTTATTTTTAAATAGTGACAACTGATTTTATTAGTTTACATGTAATTTAAAAAGTTTTAAATTTTCCACTATTTTTACAGTGGGTCGCTCCGGTGGCCCAAATGTGACACCCCTGATCGGATCTGGTTACCCTTATCGGTCTGTGGGGGTTACAGGCTTAACTACAAATTTGGTCTCTAAACTTACAAGACTTTTCGAAATGGACTAACTTTTTATCATATTTTACAATTTGATCATTATTCACAAATTAGGGATTTAGGTCAAATTTCCCCAAATTCTAGGGTTTCGAATTAGGGATAAATTAGGGTGTTACAAAAACCATCCGGCTAAATTGGTGAGAGTGCACCATCCGTGTTTAGACACAGCAATACCTCCTCCGATGGTCACCATTGAGATTGTATAGGCTCTAGAACGGTAGAATTTTCTGGTTGCACACTCGAATTAGAGTTGATAAAATGGACTAGGTAGCTTTTCAATAACGATCTAATAATAATATTAATTAAATATTATTAATCTAAACTTAATAATAATATAAACGGAGAAAACTTAATAATACTAAATTTAATAAAAAAACAAATCTTAAATTTTAACGTAATAAAAGAGAAATTACAGATTAACCTTTTTGCACAAGATAATTTATTATATAATGATCTTAAGAAAGTTGATAAAGCGGACAAGGTCGCTTTACAATGATGTTTGCTCTAGAGCAGTGTATATGGGTTCTGTCGACATTATATCTACAAATGTTTATTTAAACTTGTAAATTCATTCTATTTAATTAAAAATTCAATATAAAATTGATTCATTATAAAAATTATAATATGGATATAAAAATATTCGAATTCAATTGATAAAGAAATCCAACTAACAAATTCAAAATTAATATTTTTTCCAAACATGAACAGGAAAAAAAAGCAACCGAAAGGGGAAAAGAAAAAGATAAAACAGCAACCTAGTTGGTTTATTAGCATTGCCTTTATACCAAAATGTGCACTGTTGATATCTCATCACCCAATCTCTTGCTTTATGAATAACTAGAAGCATTTCCTGTGGACAATTGATGGGCCAGACTCATCATACTCTGCCTTTGCAATCCACATCTGCAAACAAAATGCCCAATATTACGTGAATCCAAGGTGGACCTAGGGGGTGATTGGAGAATATTAATTCTAATTTTTTCAATTCAATTATATTATAATTTTTTCTATTTTTATGATAATTTATTTTCTATCCTTAAAGTTTTATAAATTAACCCATAATATAAAATCCAACACTCATTCCTGCATGGATACACATGGGTTTTGACCCGAATTAGTCTACCGCCTGCATACTTCTTTTCTTTCTTCCTTTCTGCAATTTCTGATCAAATCTCAGCCATGAACGCCAACTCATCAAAGAATTAAATTCATGTTCGTATATGCATTAGAAATGAGACGCAATCATGAATACTTTGAAGTAAAATGAAGAGATAATACCTGCTGGAAGGTACTGAGAGATGCCAAAATGGAGCCTCCGATCCAAACGCTATACTTCCTCTCCGGTGGTGCAACCACTTTAATCTTCATGCTGCTTGGAGCTAGTGCCGTGATTTCCTTGCTCATCCTGTCGGCAATTCCAGGGAACATAGTGGTGCCACCACTGAGGACAATATTTCCGTACAGATCCTTTCGGATATCCACGTCACACTTCATGATGGAGTTGTACGTGGTTTCATGAATGCCAGCAGCTTCCATCCCAATCATGGATGGCTGGAAGAGGACTTCGGGACAGCGGAACCGTTCAGCCCCGATGGTAATAACCTGTCCATCTGGTAGCTCGTAGTTTTTCTCCACAGAGGAGCTGGTTTTCGCGGTCTCGAGCTCTTGCTCAAAGTCAAGAGCAATGTAAGCAAGCTTCTCTTTTATGTCCCTCACGATTTCACGCTCAGCGGTCGTGGTGAAGGAATAGCCACGTTCCGTTAAGATTTTCATGAGGGCATCAGTGAGATCTCGACCGGCTAGGTCGAGACGCAAGATGGCATGAGGGAGAGCGTAGCCTTCGTAGATAGGAACTGTGTGGCTCACACCATCTCCGGAGTCCAAAACAATACCTATACATTAACCTTGCATGTTAGGTCCAAAAGTAAAGTGAAGCATGATATTTACAATACGGAAAACCTAACTTACCACGCTATCTATGTTCTCAACCAGTAAAATTTACACATTTCACTTTTTTTTTTATTATAATCTTTTCCAATAATGAATCTTTCCTTTTTGTGATATAAAAATAAATAAAGTGACATGTTTATATGACTGAAGAAGTCGGTGCTAGGACTGTAATCAAGCCTAGTTAAAGTTGAATGATGAGAAGTTCAAGCTCGACCAAATAAAAATTTCTAAGTTTAATTTGGCTCGAGTTAAAATTAAACTATTTGAGCTCTAATTGAGCTTGTTTTACATGCATTTTTTTCCAATTTGATTTAGATCTACCAAACTCAATTGGAAGAACATTTTGATAAATAAAGAATTAAACTCAAGAATAAAGGTTATTATATACTCGTAGATGAAAATCAGAATGCAAAAAACCTCAAATGAATTGCAAATAAAAAAGGATGACAAATTGGAAATTTATTAAGGTAATCATAATAGAACTAGTTCACAGTTGAAGGAACACAATATATCACTAACTAAATCAATAAAAAAACATAGCCGGATGGAACTTCAATATTCCGTTGCGTGTGTACCGAGGTAAAATTGTAAATTAATACCAAAATGTATATTATAAAAAAAAATAAGTTAGATTAGATTTAGAGCTACTTGAATTGGATTCGAAGATATTTGAACCCAGCACATTTGATAGTTCATTTGATAGTTCATCCTGCTCAAATTTGAGCTCGTATCAATAGTGATTAAATCAAATTGAATTTTTTTTTTTTGTAAAAAAGTTAAACTCAAATATCTCACTAATATTGGTGTCTCTCAACACATTTTTGTTTTCTAACGATATCTAGGCAAATAAAATTTCAATCACATTCCATTAGATTTCAATTAACCTATAATCAAATGAATATAATGTTGAACAACGAAGAAGCAGATAGTTGACAACCGAACCTGTTGTACGACCGCTGGCATACAAGGAAAGAACAGCCTGGATAGCAACATACATCGCGGGGGCATTGAATGTTTCGAACATAATTTGAGTCATTTTCTCACGATTAGCCTTGGGGTTAAGAGGGGCTTCCGTGAGGAGAATTGGATGTTCCTCGGGGACAACTCGGAGCTCGTTATAGAACGTATGATGCCAGATTTTCTCCATATCATCCCAATTGTTAACAATACCATGCTCAATAGGGTACTTCAGGGTCAAAATACCTCTTTTGGATTGAGCTTCGTCTCCCACATAAGCATCCTTTTGGCCCATGCCAACCATCACACCGGTATGTCGAGGGCGACCGACTATGCTGGGGAACACTGCTCTTGGAGCATCATCTCCAGCAAATCCGGCCTGAAAATTTTATACATCTATCAGCAACGATCCAAATCACCAATCAATAAAATCAATTCTCAAAAAAAATAATCAGAACAAATCACGTGAATAAAACTGAATCACATTTAAAGAAATATCATTGGTAAGTAATTCAGAGAAACGGAGATCTTATGAATGTTTACCTTCACCATTCCAGTCCCATTGTCACAAACAAGTGGCTGAATATCTTCTCCATCTGCCATTTTCTATCGCCTGTTTCATACGAAGCCGAATACAAAAATCAATAAACGCGTTTGCAAATTGAGAACAATTGGAAATGAACTTCAAATTGAGAAACTCAATATGCATATGTTGGATTGAACTGTAAAGTTCAATTTTATTTTTGGAAAGAATCACATAAATGAATAATAAAATTTCAGATTTGGATGCATGCTAATGCAGCAAAATGACATAATCATCATTAATTAAACGCAAAATTAGGTGAAAATTTTGAGAAGTTTACTTTAAAGAGATGCTGAAGTTGAAGATCTGAGCATCCAAATCCGATCAAATTAATACCGAAAAAGGATTTAGAAACATATGCGGATGAAACAAACAAAAATTCTGAATTCAAAATTATAAAGCGATTCTCACTTCGTGTTGCAATTTTTAACGGACTGTTGAGCTTCGCAGAATAATGCGGTTAAGGTACCCGCTATCTTTGTTTAAAGAAGGCGAATGTGTGAATTCACCTCAAATACGATTTTTGTTAGATCTTTGGCCGTTCGATTCTCATTTTCTACCTTCATCTACAGACTCTAATTTCCCCCCACGGTCATGGCGGAAACAGCTGGCTCGCTTTTTGATCAAATGTTGACTAAAACCCCGTAAATTTATCAAATTTTAATGATTTTTATTTTTACTTATTTTATTTTTTATATTCTTTAAATTATTCAAATATATTTAAAAGAACATGAGTTTGTTCAAGTAGTAAGTAATTTGACATCGTTTAAATAAGGTTTTGAGTTCGAGTATTTGTGTATATAGAAAATCTCTGCTAGAAGACCTATTTACTAAAGTAAGGTGTGCGAAAACCTCGTGTACATACGAAAAAAATACTTGGATTCCAATTAAAAAATATACTTGATAAATTATAAGAAAAATGAAAAATTATTACTTTTATTTAATATTTTATTGACATACTATGTATGTATGTGGAAACGAAAAAGAATGAAGATTTTGCTATAATAAAAAAGTCCCATTAGAAAAATGTTGTCCATTTTATTTGAAAAATAAATATAATACATTTACTTCTTTATGGTCATTAGTGTATGTGAGACAATATAAAATCATGATTAAAATGCCTTAAGTTATCAACTTCCCTTCTTGTATACAATAATTGGATTTGAATCTTGATAGTCTTAAATATAAAAAAGAAAGTAATTTAAATTATTACTTCCATAGGGTGTTGGTAACTTTTATAAACTTTTCAGGTGCACCAGATGTTATTTTGAGGAAAAATATTTTATATTAATTAATTAATTAAAATTGTGTTAATTGAACTTTTCAGATACACAAAATATTACTACAAGAAAATAATTGTTTTATAATTACTAATCAATTAACATTGAATTAAATTTAAATTAATTAGTATTATTTGTTATTAAGTAATGAATTTACTAAATTATTTCTTCAACTAAAATAAATATATAAAATTATTAACATTTTTTGAAAAGATTTAGATCTAAAACCAGCATAAATATAGATTATATTCCTCAAATCCAGATCATTCAGAAGAATAAAATTCCCTTATTACCATCAAGAGTCAAGACTACTTCAAGGATTTCATTCATGTGACATTTGGATCTCTATTTGGAAGCTTCCGGTTCCACAATGAATTCGAGTTTTCTTATGGCTAACGGTGAAAGATAGAGTGATGACGCGATGCCGGCATAATTTAAACGAATATCATCTGTGCGCAGTTTATGGTGTCGTTGTTGAAACAATTGAGCATGTTGTTCGTGATTATCAGGCTGTAAAGGGGCTTTGGAGCTGGCTTGTTTCATGTGATATGCGAGACTTATTCTTGACGGCAACCTTGCTTGATTGGGTTTCAATGAATATTCATAACTCTTCTATTTTGGCTACTGATGTTCCTTGGAAAGCTCTCTTTGCTTCTCTCTTGTGGGCTTGTGGCATTGTTCACGGATGATGGAGGTGACCATATATATCGAAGATGTCTTCCACCTTAGCATGGAGTAAGCGCTTTTATGGTCTAGTGAGAGAAACTGGATAAGGAATGCCTCGATACAGATTCATTTGTTCCCACAGCAACATCTATGGGGTTAATGGGTAGAGTGTTGCGAGATAGCCGTGGCGGCTGGCCTGGCTGTGTGGTTTTCCAAACTCAATGGGGTACACTGACACATCCCTCCGTCCTTACTGTCAGTGTTGAGGGGCTGTAGTTAGCCCCTGCTCCTGGTTTTGATCATCTACTAGTTCAAACGGATAATGCCCATGTTTTCTAACTCCTTATCGCCTTATCTGCCTCCCGGAGCTTCATCTGCCTAGTTCGTGCAATAACAACGGGGTGCAACGGCAATGGCCTTGTTCGGTTTAAAATCAGGACTGGTGATTCGTTTCTGAGGCTAGGTCTGACTTTTTCCGAAGTCTTTCACTCCATGATGCCCCGCCCTCTGGTTTACATGATATCTTCTTACGTGACCTTCATCGTCCCTTGTCGTCTAGTTTGTGTAATTAGTATTTATCGACTTTCCTATTAAAATAATAAAAAGAATTTCAATGTCTTCTCATCAATCATCAATGTTAACCACGACAATACTTATCTTTCACAACTATCGATGATGTTTATTTAAGTTACTAAATAATCAATTTATGTACTTTAAATAAATATTTAACTTCTACAATATATTTTATTTTTATATATTATTTATATAGTTTTAAAATATATATTTTTATTTATTAAATAAAATTAATTATTATTAAAGGTAAGAAAATATTTTAAATTTATTGAGTTGTTTTAACGAAAAATAAAAATATTATTTTTATAAAAAAATCAGATTCGAACCATTATACCTTTAACATATATTATTAATATCTAAAAAAATTAAACAAATAATAATTTATAATTACTTAAAAACGTTAAAAACAATTATAAGGTTGCGCATACTATGTATCGGCGACCCGGTCTAGTTGGAAAACCATGACCATGACTGGACTTTCATGCACTTTCTTTAGTCAAAAAGACAACAGTAATTATGTAAGCCTAGGTCTCATATAGGAATGTAAATGAGACGAGATATATTACGAGTTATTTGAGATTGATTTGATCGAAGTTTGACAAATATTCGGATCGAATAGGCTTGACTCGAGCTCGAGCTCAATTTGAGTTCATAACGAGCTGAAACGAGCTACTTGATATTCGACTCGAAAAACTCGTGAGCCGCTCGAAAATATAATATATTAAGATTTTATTTTTTAAAAAAATAAATTATTAATAATATTTATATATTGATTTTTTTTTAAAAATATAATAAGATTTTTATGTATTTAAGATTCAGGTTCGAGTTTGAGGCTTCAATCGAGTTAAATTTAAGATTTTTTTTCATTTCGAATCTTTTCGAGCTGCTCACGAGCTTCAATTCAGAATTTCGAGTTCGAGTCGAACTTGAAAATTTTATGTTCACGAGTTTTCGAATCGATTCGAGCTCAGCAATACTAAAACTCGACTAGGCTCGTTTACACCCCCTAGTCTCATGAGGCGGCTCCCCAGTCCGGCGTACACGTATTTCCCACTTAATCATCTAATCGCGGCATGGGAGAGATCAGAGAATATAGCCAAGCAGTAATTATGATTAAGAGGGAAAATTATTCCATCCAATTTCTTTAACATTAATCCCATCACTCATAAAATAAAACCACTTTCTCAACCCAAAGCATCGCTCCATCAAGAATCTCAAACATTAAAAAAAAAAAAAACCCACGAAAGTCTGGAAACTACAGTATTTAATCATCATCAGAAACTGCAATTACAGCGTCTTTTTGGCCAAGCAGACTGCTTAGCGATCGAGCTTTAACCGTCCCGAGCTTCATCACTCTCTTCCGATCACTTTCTTGTTTGGACAACGGCGGCTGCAGATCTTCCTTCTTTGCCACGTTATCATTCGATCGGTTTTTAACACTGGTGATACTCCTCAGCCTCCCTTTTCCCAAATGATGCTCGCAGAGGGAGTAACCGACGAGTGTTTGTTGGCAACACCGCCATCCCCTTCCATTCACTCGACTGCACCTCGAACCTTCCATTAACGCACCGTTTCGACCTCTGACCTTTTTCCCACTCTTTTCATTATCGTTATCTTTCTGCATTATTCTTCTTTTCTTCAATGGAAACGCCTTCTCTCCTTCACACCAGCTCCCCTCAGCTTTATTCAATGCAATAAAAAAAACACCCTTCAATAATCACCATTATATAAAAAAAACACTATAATTTGATTTCTTACCTTGACGGGATAGAGACCCAGTTCCTAGTTCTTCACCAGAATCACTTTTCTTCCTAGAAAAAAAGTATTAAAAAAATATGCAAATCCAGAAATCCATAGCCAGATATTGGTTAAAATGGGGACCATTGCATTGTGCACCACATAGAAATATAGAGTATTAGTTAACCAAAAAGAAAGAAAAAAAAGAAGTTAAGACTGAGATTAGATTGGATGGGAAGCTGATATATATAGAATAACCTAATAAAAACAGTATTTCCACTTGGTACTATATTTAGTTCTACTGTATTTTACATTTTCTTTTCATTAATGTTGGTTAAAAATTTTATTAAGGATTTTTTTAAACTTTTTTAGTTTTTTTACTACAACAGTTCATGAAGTAAGAAAAAGAACATTGGCTGGCTTTCTTACCTGGTAGTGTAATTACTCCTCTTCTCCCCATTTTCTCCCCTTACCTCCTCTCCTGCTTGCTTCAAAATCTGCAAGAAAAAGTTGAAAATACAAAGGATCTCACTTGGGTAAATTTGTATTTGTTTTTTTACCTAATATATGAAGCTTTCATGGGTGCAAATTAGTCAAAGTGAAAAGAAATTTTCAGACAAGATTTATTTTTATTACATCAAAAACTAGTGCACTCTTTTTAAAAACTTTAAAACTACGATAGAAAAACGACCAAGTAATCTTTGAATCATTGAACTAACCGAGTGATCTTTCTTCTTCAGCTCTTTTCCACGTGTTGCTCTTATTGTTGTTGTTTCAGGGACAGCATATGAATCACGGTCCTGGGTTAGTTGCTTTCGTCGGATCGGGTGGCTTGGTTGATCAGAAGGCGGAGGAGACTGCCGCCGTTGCGGGTGTTGCACCACCGGAGACCGGTTCAAGTTGGGATCTGGTGAAAGAGGTGAAATCGAAGAGAAAGATTGCTGAACCGGTCTTTTTCTGATCCTCATGATAGATGAAACACATAATTTTCTTTAAGAAAATTCTGAAGAAAAGTCCAAAGGGAAAAATCAAGAAAAAACAGAGAAAGAAAATGAATTTTTTTTTCGAGAAAGAAATGGGAGAAGGAAGAAAAAGAAAGTGCAAAACCCAAATACTACAACTACTATAACATCGTCAACACCAAGAATTAATTAATTAAAATTTTTAAATAACAAACAAATACTGCTACTACTAATAATATAATATCTGGTTTTTTAATACATGTCTCTAACTTTTCATTTGTTTCAATTCAGTCACGGAAAGGAGTGAGGGGGATACGCACGTGGGGGCACGTGGGAGAGACCGGCTTAGAAGGTAGGCGGTGAAAGAATCAGGAGAAGGTGAAAGTGAAGGGGAAGCCAGGGTGGCATTGAGAGTGGGTAGTTTTATCGTTTACACCTTTTTGATGACATTGGTGGGTCCCTCTCACTCTACTCTTCTAAATTTTATATTCATATATATTATATTTAATTTTGTTTATTATAATAATTTTAGTGGTTAAGAGATTATTGTTATTTTTAAGATTTTAAGTTTGAATATCATGAATACTAAAATTATAAATATTTCTTTTAAATAGTTTAAAATCTTTATAAAATTATTATCTTATATTTATTAAAACTTATAGAAAATTTATTTATTGTCAATGATCATCAACTTAATTTTGAAATGATAAAAAATATTATAGTTTAAAGTTTAGTACATATTATTTTATAAGTACATTTTTAAATAATAAAAAAGATATTATTTTGAACTTAAGCATATGACAATTTTTTTAAAAACTAATATTTTCTATTTTCCTAATAATTATTTGTCAATATAAAGTTATTAAATATAATTTGTATATAACATATTTTTCCTATTTCTAGATCATATATTTACATCCTATAATTAATTTAGACGCACAAAACATATCAAAGAAGATTTCTATTGAGTGAAAGCTAGATTCCAAAAATATTATTTAAAATTCATTGAAACAAATATATTTAGGTGTCTAAACTATTTTTCGATCAATATAGATGTATAACATTTCTAATGTTACACTTTTAGATACATGAAATATTGTGGTCGTTAAATGACACATGTCGCCTTTATAAAATTTTAAATTTAAAAAAAAAAATTCAAAATTTCCTCAGCGTTACAAGTGCCACTTAATTGCGGAATTTAATGTCGTTACAGTCGAGACACCTAAAAGTTTAACATTGAAAAAAACGTTAGGCATTTGGATTGATCGAAAAAGTTTAACACGAACCAAGTAATTTCAGTGGTTAAAAGAATTGTTGTATTCCTTGATGTCTCAGGTTCAAGCATTGCATATGTCAGGGGTACGAGCGTTCATTATCAAATAGTTAAAATTTATTTTTCAATATATAATACTAGAGGTGTTCAAAACTGAGTGTCCGTACTTTCAGGTAACTAGGGTGTTTGGGTACTAAAATGTTGGCTTGTGTCACTGTCCGTTAAGTATGGCTACTTGTAGGTCAGACACCCGTAAAATCCGAGTACCATTGTTTTCTGGTCACGAGTACTCGAATTATATATATATATTTTAATTTTAAAAAAAAAATTATATTATTTAAAAAAATCACAAAGAATAAAATATAAATTTAAAAATCTACAATACATAATCCAAAAAAAAATTAAAAATTCAAAGTACATAATTGAAGATAAAACTTATTAAAAAATAAAATAAAGAAATACAAATAAGTTTAAAATATTTTAAAGTTAAAATAAATAATTTAAAATAGTAGGATGCAATAATTTAAAAAATTACGAGTTTAGAATGTTAGAGTGAAATAATTTGTTAATTAGGAACAAAAATTTAATATAATATATATATATAAGAAGTTGGGTACCAGATCGGTGGGTATCCAATTAAGCACTAATTTTATGATCTGAACCTGTCTCAAAAAATTAAGAAAAAATAGCGGACCGTAGTTGACTAAACAATTTAGATATTTTCTTTTTTTATATATAAAATTAGAGGTCTCGTTAAAACAATTTTTATATCCATCAACTTACAGCAAAGTAAATCAACATACAGTGGAAGGAGGAAAATAGTACCTTATTAATAAGTTAAGAACTATCTCAAGCGGAATCGTAATAGATCTTCTACATGTTCATAACAGAAACAAAAAAAAAATTATAAACACAGAAAATAAAAAGGAATTAACCAATTCCTTGCTTCGCTAAATCATCAGCCTAAGATTTGACACTTCTCTGGACCAAGGGTATAATGACGGCTTGCTCCAGAACCACAGAGGCAATTTTATTCACGAGCTATGAGAATGGAGCAGGATATGAGGAAGGATAAAAAAATCCAGTCCACCGCCAATTTGCTACCATTTTCTAAAATCAAACGGTTATTCTCACTATTGTTGAGCGACTGAAAAAGGAACAAACCGTGTTTAATTGCTAGAAGTTTCGCAAGTATATGGGGTCAGGGCCAACAACTTTTGAGAAGTGAGCCAAGCATGAACCCTCAAAGTTTCGAAGGACTCCACCTATGCCTCATGCTATGTTATCTCCAGTCGCAGCGCCATCGACATTGAACTTCAAAAAACCAATAGGGGGAACGATCCATGCAACTGTAGTGGATTTTGTGCAACTCAATGACTGATTTATCAGCTAGAGATGGGTTACAAATCAGGTTGTACATCGAAACTAAGTAAGAAGGGAACTTCGTCTTAAACCAAGGCGCAAGCTTATGCTTAGCTAAGAAGAATAGCTGGGGTTCTTCTAATTACTACCCTTGAAAACAATTTTGTTCCGATAAATCCACGCAGATCAGATAACAACGAAGGGAATAAACAACCAAATTGAGACTTTGGGTGAAATCGGATTAGTCTCTCGCCACAGCTTCAATAAGGAACAGACCTCGCCTAGGAGAGCTGTCGACACACCCCAGAAATAGAGGAACCTCATCCAAAGCTTTCACGAAATCGAGCAGGAAATGAATAGGTGAAAGGCAGTCTCTACTTCAATACGACAAAGGGGGCAGACCGTATCCACGATAGCAGCAACACCCCCTTTTCATTAACTCAGCTTTAACAGGAACCTTGTTATGAACTGTTTTCCAGACGAGAGATTCCACCCGAGGTGGGGCCAATCCACTCCACACTGTATTACACCAAAATGAATCAGCATTGGATGAATTAGAGAATAATTTACTAAAGGATTTTATCGAGTACGATCCATCCCCTTTTTCAGACCATGATAACCAATCATATTACTCGATGAGAAATCACATAGCAGAGAGAAGAGGATATTTCATTATTCTTCCTCCAACCAAATATTCTTTCTCAGAAGGATATTATGTAACACCCGAATTAACCCCAAATTGGAAACCCTAAAATTTTGGGGGAAACCTTAAATCTCTAAATTGTGAGCAATGACCAAATTGTAAGGAAGGTAAAAGTTTGAGCTCTTTTCGTAAAACCTTATAGAAATTATGCACCAACCCTTTAATTTAACTAAGTTTTATTTGATTTCAACTAACTTCTATTCTCCGCGCGGCTGCCTCTATTATTTCTTTCTTATGTTCTATTCTATTTTTCTTCTTTTCCGTTAATCTTTCTTGCGCCGCTCACCCTTTTACGTTAGCCCCTTGCTGCCGTTCGAAGAAGATGGCCTTCCGTAAGTTGTTCGATGTGCTACCGCTTCCTCGTCGTGAAAATGAAAGTTGCGTTTGCCTAGTTCGAAAAATCTTAAACCATGGTTGCATCTTCAGTGTCTGGTCGAGCTTGGTTCCAAAATCTGAAAAATTTCCCTTTCTATCAAGTGATAGAGCAAAAATTCAAGGGAACTTACAATTCATAGGAGCTTCGCAAAGCCAAACGTCAGTCCAGAAGAAAATGGACTCTTTTCCAACTTGCAGTTTTAGGTGTTTTCGAAAGCAAGCCCCCACAGCGTCTTCTTGCACTGATATATACGGGGACGGGAAACAACAACTTTTAAAATTATAAGATATAGGGACGGCAAAGTTTGTTAAAAGTTTCAAAGTTTGGCAACCAACTTTGGAAAATGTTTTTTTCAAAGTTTGGTAAATGTTTCTTTGAAAAATGTTTTTCAAAGTTTGGTAAAATTTTGGTAGATGTTTGTTGAAAATAGGAATGGGTAAATTCACTTTAGTCATTGCACTTTAGGGTATTTTCAAAGATTAGTCCCTAAGTTTCTACTATAAATACCCTTACCCATTTAGCTTCAAAATCACCCCAAAACATTTCTTTCTTCCTATACTAGAGAGCTTTCTTGTGAGTAGTGAGTGTTTTGTAAACACCTGTAAATTTCTCTCTTAGTAAAAGATCTGCAGCAGCCCGGAGACGTAAGCACAATTGGCTGAACTCCGTTATCAATTTTCGGGTATTATTTTTCCGCTTTTATTTCGCATTCTCACTAATCTGGTTATAGGGAAATTACTTGTACTCGGTTTATTTTCCTAACAACTGGTATCAGAGCTTTTGGTTGTGAATTTTGTCAAATTTTCTGCGAGGTTACTATTCATTACTATTCACGTGAATAGTGAATTTCGTGAATAGTGAAATTCGGTCGGCGATACGAGTTTGTCGACGGTGGTGTTCTAATACACAGTGATTCGCAAGAATTGTCAGAAACGATCCAAACGAAGCCAGATTCGAGTGGGAGCGATGGCTGCAGACGAAGGGAAGGTGAAAATTGAAAAGTTCGATGGTGCGGACTTTGGCTTTTGGAAGATGCAGATTGAAGATTTTTTGTACCAGAAAAATCTATATCAACCTCTCTCAGGAAAGCAACCAGAGGGCATGAAGGATGAAGATTGGGCTCTTCTCGACAGACAAGCCCTCGGAGTTATCCGACTGACGTTATCCCGCAATGTTGCTTTTAACATAGCAAAGGAAAAGACCACGGCGGGTCTTATGGCGGCTCTCTCCAGTATGTACGAGAAGCCATCGGCCTCAAACAAAGTTCATTTGATGAGGCGATTATTCAATTTGCGGATGACGGAAGGGGCATCGGTGGCACAACACCTAAATGAACTCAACACAATCACAACCCAGTTGAGTTCAGTGGAAATTGAGTTCGATGATGAAGTTCGAGCTTTAATTCTCTTATCATCTCTACCAGACAGTTGGAATGCTACTGTTACAGCAGTCAGCAGTTCGTCGGGA